AATTACAGAAAAATTATAATAGTACCACTACAATTCTGGTGCCACCACCAGAACACAGAAGTTCATGGTTACTGTGCAGCATGGGAGACAACACTGCCGGCACACTGCAGATCCTACCACCTAACTGGGCCAAATGGCTTCCCAGGGGAGACAGGCACCAAGCCAGTCCTCTCAGTCAAAAGAACAGCATGCCTGAGCACACAGAGATACAGAACTGCTGGTGTTTCTGGATGCTTATGTACTCAAGTAACCCATTTTAATTTTTGTGAATCATACTGCTAACACTAAACACGTAATTCCCATCTAAGACTACTTATAAATGTCATGATTTACCAAAATACATTGACTTTGATTTTATATGTTATTTAAGCTTTTAACTCTTACAAGACTAGGTCTCAGGTACTTCATGTTCTTCTGTATATCATCAGCATTGAAAACAATGTGTGCCATGAAAACATGGCACAAGGTACTTTCCTGTACCTCCTAAGGAACAAGATGCAATTCTCTTACATAAAACACTGCAATTTTATATAAAACCAAGATCCATTCACTCTTCAGCAACCTGCAGTAAAATAAGCACATGTTCCCCATTAAAGCACAACACATGCTAGCAGGAATTAAATTACATTGGATACCTTTGCAGCCTGGGGTAGCTCCCCCCATGCCCAGTGCATCTGGGGATTATTCTTCAGTCCACTTCTGTCCATAGGTTTACTGACTAATTCTGAGTCACTCTGTGGAGTAGGAGGGCGTGAATCTGATGGGCTAAAGAAAAATAAAACGTTACAAAGCCAAAAGTAACCACAATGCACTACGCACTTTCCAAACGGATATCCACCAACCCAAAACATTGAAGACTGAAATAACCATGAGCCAACTGAAAGTATAAGAGCATGGATAAGTGGTTTAAACTGTTCAGGATCCTCTTAGACTGGCATTCAGATTTCTCATCCATTTTTTAGTAAGCGCTGTCACAGAAGTAGGATTTGAGAAGCTGAAAGAGATGGAACAAGAGCACTGGACCCGAACATTTCAGGAGGATTTTTGGGTTTCTGTGTGGAAAAAAGAATGAGGATTGTACCAGCAGCAGTAGATGAATAGATGTTAGTATAGCTATAATGGATATGAAGTGCAGAAATTACTCACTTGTATCAACAAGACACCTTATCCTGACTAAGTAATAAATTAGTCTCAGGAATCCAATTGACTCCTTCTGCTAACTTGTTCAGTTATACCCTTGGATAGATGCTCATAGGGAAAACAGCAGGAGAGCTACACAATGAATTTGAGCCCTTTCAGTTCAAACATATCTAATGGTTTGTTTTGACAACTACTTAATATAAAATATTTAATAATTAATTAGTAAATTATCAGCTTGTAGCATATTTTCAATGTGTCGAAGTCAATAATGTGATGTCAAGTCAGTCATTAATAAATAATGATTCACTGATTTTAAGGACAAATGGGAAAATTCCAATTATCTACTCTACTTTTCTGCATAACACAAGTCATAGAATTTCACCTAGAATCCTCTGAACAAAGCCTATTATTTCTTCTCTGAGCCATAATGTGTCTTTAGTATATTTATCCAATCCTGATTTAAGAACTACAAGCAACAAAAGAATTCACAACATTCCTAAATCAAAGGTCCAAAATGAGTTACTTTCACACTCAAAACCAAAATTCTCCCTACCCTTTAGTATAAAGTATTCATGTTTGATTTATTCTTTACCTTCTGGACAAACTACATATCCAAACTAGCTTTGCTCTTTCATAGAATAACAGAATGATTTGGAAGTGACATTAAAGATCATCTAGTTCCAACCCTCCTGCCATGGGCAGGGTCACCTTCCTCTAGACCAGGTTGCTCCATGCCTCATCCAACACAGCCTTGAATACTTCCAGAGGTGGGGCATCCGTGACTTCTCTGGGCAACCTGTGCCAGTGCCTCATCACACTCACAGTAAAGAATTTCTTAGCTTAGGTTCAATCTAAACCTCTACTCTTTCTGTTTAAAGCCATTCTCCCTTGTCCTATCATTCCATGCCCTTGTATAAAGTCCCTCTCCAGCTCTCTTGTAGCCCCTTTGGGTACTGGAAGGTGCTATAAGGTCTTCCATTTTGAGTGTAAGGCAGTTCTGTAGGGCTAGCTGGTAGGGAATTCATTGGTCACAGGAAAATAATTACTTCACATTAACACAAAACACCTTTTAAAAATCTGTGACTTTCACACCTGAAATGACAGCAACTTCATTATCTACATTATTCAGGTTTTGTTTCATCTATGTTGCAGTAAGATGCACTTTGAATATGGATAAATGCTATGACTGTTTACCTACAGACAATTATGTTATCTAATTAAATTATAAAGTTTCTCCACAATATGACTGTGGAAGATCTTTTTTGGTTCTAAGAATTTTGAAATTTTATTAGTCCTTAGGTTATAACCTTCCATTTGACAGATGAAGGAATCAATATGATTTTAAAAGTATTTTCAAGCTCTAAGGATTAAAAAAATGCCCAGTGAGTTTTTTAGCAACTGCATTCTGCAGTAAGAAAAGTGATTTGGGGCAGGGGGGAACCTGGTCTTTTCCACAGTTCTCCCTGAAAATACAGCTCCCTTGCACAACTGAGGGGAAAGAGGCCAGGCTATTACTCAGCACCAAGCACCACGATGTATATTACCAGACATATGCCAGAAATATGGCACTTGCATATACAGTGCAGGCAGAGTTCTGCTCTGTGTTGGCTCTTGCTGCTAAAGTCTGCCCAGTGATCCATGCACACATCTGGGTTTGTCTTAGGCTGAACTATGTCTTGCAACGCCTGTATCCTTATATTAGGGACCGACCCATGTCAGCTAAAATTCCCTTGCCTTGCAAAGATTTCTGAGGTATTACAGACCAAACTAGAGGCACCCATCCTGTCAGCACCGCACTAGAAGGAAACTTCAGTTCAGCCATTGAGATCAGCATCTCCAATTCACATCCCATAAATGCTGAATATTTGCGTCACAATCCTATATATTCCTTAACAGTTATTATTGCATTTATTCTAATCCAGTGTCAAGTAACAAGGAACTTGGCCTGTGAAGACAGTTCTTCAATAGCAAACCATGCTGATCTTTGCAGTGTTTTCCACTGAAAGCAAGACAGCCCTGAGAAAGCAGCAGTGTGACCCGAAAAAAAGGTCCTGTCTTGACTGATGACAAACAAACTGTGAAAAGATAGTCAGAAGGCAAGAGCCCTACATCACATACATGGCACAGCAATAACTGAGAGCCTCTGAACCTCCTCTCAGGTGGCAGATGTAGTAACAGCCTCACTCAGACAAATTACTACAGCACTTTAGCTGTCTATCTAGACTGTAAGACAGGTTAAGCCCACCATAAAGTTCACGAAGCCACACAGAACACATCACTGCTCCATCCCAACTTGTACACCTGCCCTTACTTCTAATGAAAAACACTAAGGTGAACAGCCTTGAATATCCTAGTATATCACTTTGACTTGGGGCTGCAACATGGTCAGGTTAAAGAGAGCAGACCTAGAAGGTAGGAAAATACCTCAAGACTATCAGCTTCAATACAGCCTTAGGCACCTAGTATGGCAACTACATTGAGATAAGCATTGAGCAATATAGCCCGATTTATTACTCAAAGCTTTCCCAGAATTAATGGAGAATTGTAGAGGTCATATTCAGACATCTATTTCAATTTTTTTAACTGAGTTGCTGTGGCCTCTCTCCACTGACTTAATATAAAGAGCTTGGCTGCAGAATCTTGAGACTTCTCAAATTTAAGATAACACAAAAAGTGTCTGTATCCAGTTTTAACTCCGTAGAAGAGTCCACCATCAGAGGAATCGTATGCTACAGCAAAGGCTTAAGTCTCCGTCTCCTAAACCTTAAATAGGATGCTTTATCTATTGCATCATCTTTACTCTGCAAGATGATCCCCCACTGCAATCCAACACACAGAAAATCTTCCCCAAACCAGGGAAAAAGGAAGAGAAGTTCTCTTTTGGCACTAGGCTCCTCCTATTACAAGTTTTGCATTTCTTATTGCTCACTTATCTCTGAGGCTTTTGTTTTGCTTTTACTTTTGCAACCTATGCACAAGCAAAATACTCAGGAAAACCATGGGATAAAAATTTCATTAAAATATAGGCTGACTGTCAAAAGCTACATGGAAGTATCAGTTTTCAGGGGAATGTAAGTTTTCACTACTGAAATTCTTTTTTTTTAATCATCCTAATCAGTTTTGTGTTTTAACCCAGGTTTTCATTGGCCTGATTTTATATCAGCCATCCTCATTCAATGGATGATTCATGAAGGTAACTTACCTCCATTCAATGCCCACAAAGAAGCAAGCAGAGGAAGTGGTTTTCACTGTCACTTTCAAAGTTTCAGGGTTAGCAATAAGCACAGTTACAAATTCAATGAAGTTCACATAGTATTAATGTGTTAAAAGTGTATTAATGCCTTAATAGGATTAAAAAGCAGCCCAGCAAAGAGGGAGGACAACTGTTCTACCTGTCTGGAAGAGAAAAGTGAGAAGATTGTTGAGGACAAGAGTTAGATAGGCCTCCATCTGCTGGAACAGTGAGGAGAGAGGTTTGACCTGTGCAATCTATAGGCTTACTGGGCAGCACAGCATGTTGACAGAAAGAAAAACAGGTGTCATTATTCACAAGTGCTGATTAACATAAACTATTTGTGCATTAGCTACACGAATGCCGAATGCACATCTAGAGTTTTCAAAATCCAGAATACAGCAATCAAGAAATAAACAGAACATACAATTCCAGAAGCCACTGAAAGGGCAGGATATTGACATGAGCTGTCACCAGACTGGTGAAGCTAATTGCATTAAGCTTTACAGCTGCATTTACAGGCAGTGGAGAAAGTTCCTTCCAGAGTGCAATTCAATGCTCAATTTAAACAGAGCCCTTGCTCTGAAATAATCTCCTCACATTCCCTTCCTCTGCCCAACAACTACAGAGGCAGGATATTGAGATTAGATTTCTTAGGATAAGGTCTTGTGAATATTGCTGCACTCCAACAGCCTGCATGGAGCATGTGGAGCACATGTACATGGGGGCACACACAGACCTAACTGGAATTATAATGCAATGCACATTAAGCAAAAAATTGCCCTTTTTTGACAGTGTTCCACAGACACAAGACAGGATGTCCAACTCCTCTGTTTTGACATGGAAGTTATACACATGCACACAAATACACATACAGGAGAAAGTAAGCAAATTACTGTATGTGTTCTTCTCACACAAAAAATATTTCATGCCTATAGTAAAAGAGACATGAAAAGCTCATTCTTACTTGTTTTAAAAAATCTTATTTTTATACATCAACCCCAATCTTGCAGTTTCTTAAAAGGATTACACTCAAAGTACTTATAGATCTGCATTCACTACAGTACTTACAAGGTGTGTGCATCAGGCAAATATTCAGATTTCACAAAACATTCAACCTCTCTACTGTATTTATATGCAGTGACATTAATAGATCAAAATATTCTTCAGAATTTGTGGGCCTGCATTTGTATGCAAGCATTTACGGAATCAAGGACAAGGCTAACCTGAAGGTTTTGTACACAATCTGACTGCAAATACAGAAAGCATTTATCTAATAGTGGTCAGTGACCATGTTTGATACCAAAATTTTTAGTGAGACCTCATATAGCACTAGCACAGAAGACATTAATGGAAAAATTAAGATTAAAGTAGTATCTAGGAATGTACTGTCAAAATAAGTACCTTTGAAGAGGTGACCATTCTCCATCTGAATGAGGGTAAGGTGCAGACTGAGAAAGGATAGAAACTGCAGGAGTCTTTATGTCAGATTCATCATCAACAAACACATCTGGAACAGGGATCCTAAGTATAGGGGAAGAAAGGACATTTAAAAACATATTTGATTGTTGAATTGTCATACACATCAGATAACAAAGAACTCCTACTGCAGAAAAGAACTAGTATAACCTGAACTAAAAGCAGACAGAAATGTTATTTGATTCAAACTTTTTAGTTCAAACCACCACAGAGGATTCTTCTGACGTTTTCGATGACATTTTCATTACTTTTGTAACTAACACTCCAAACAGCTTCCAGCCTGAAGCTTTTTTTTTCCAAGTAACATGTTCATCAGCTATGTGTTCTGACTTAGAATCACTGTTAGAAAACATGGAATGGAACATTAACCTAGGTTTCCATTACACATCTCAATCCCACTATGATACCTTGAATTGTCCAATGGTTCTTTTTCATCCTCTGAGCTAATCTCTATAGGAAACATGTCTTCATCTTCTGATGTGTCTCCATGTGTGTCTTCTCTTTTTAAGCTGTCTATTTTATGGGTAGACTTCCTCCTCTTCTTCCTCCTTTTTTTCACAGAGCTACAGACTGAAGATGTTTCAGTAGAAGGTTGGGATCCATGGGCTTGGGGTGGTAGTTGTGAGGATGCACTGGTGTCCAGGTTTCTTATCCTGTCTATGGAATTCCTCTTCAACTGAGATTCCATTAAAGCAGTTCCCTCAGACAGAATGGGAGATGTAGAGAGATGGTAAGGAATTACCTCCTGCAAAACAAAAAATTCAAACCATATTAGTTCTTTCACCAGTCATACAACTGGTTCTAAAACTTATGCACAATTACCAGCATCTAAGTAATTTACTCCTCACATAAGTAACAAAGATTACACATCTGGATGTCCAGTATGCTCCTATGGCACATGGACATTGTTCCACAGCTGCATGTCCTTAAACAAGCCATGAACAATACTCTGAATAAAGAGCACTCTCCCAGTACCTAATATTGGCCAGGTTATGGCACGGGTCTCTATCCACCTCATGCTAGATACAGAGCAGAAATAAAATCTTAGTTTACAACCTGTATATTTTGTAAAATCCAAGTCCCCTTCACAACTCAGATGACAGTAGCCAGATTGGTCAGTGGCTTATAATTAGGTCACACAAACATAATGCTATTCAATCATATATATACAGATTTCTAGACATTCATGAAATTTCCAGTAATTTTCAGTCACCAAATAATTGTTACCACACAAAAGTTTTAAACAAAGATACAGAGATGAATACTGCAGATGCACACAGCTCTCACCTGAAGCTAGTAACATCGTACTCAATATAAGAATTTGAAAACTCATCCAGCTCTGGACAGTGACAAAAATTATTTGGCATATCTGAAGAGAAACATCTGCAAAAATTTTCCTATATTACATGTGGACTATTCAAAATTAGTGTGACTGTAATATAAACTAGTATTTAACCATACAGTTCAAGAGCAGACATCCTCATTCAAAAGTAATTCCATGTGAATAATAGATGTGAGATCATGTTCATGGTGGCTACCAGAATTAATGTATGTACAGATGTTTACAGAGCATGTGCACTTTTACTGTCAGTCTGCTGAATGCATGTGTTCAAATCACAGATTTCTGCAAAAAAAAAGAGGTCTGTGGACATTAACCTCTGTTACACACAACTTCGGAGCATGCAAACTCCATACATGTCATTTCTGTTCATAAACTGGAGTGCACATAAAGTATGGTTTATTTTTCAGTTATGTGATTACCTTTAGATTTTTTTCAAATAGCAACAAAAAAAAACCCCAAAGTAATTGCATAGCATTAAATTTCCATAACAGAAATTAATCTAGAAACTTTCAAAACTATAAAACGGGTAAAGGTATATTTTTCAACATTCCTAAACTCAAAACTGACCTGAAGAACAGGCAGTGAATCTTTAATGCATTAGTTTTGGCTCTTACCTGATCATTATCCATCTCCTGCACGAAAAAGGCCTCTCCATTGTCTCCTAGTTTCATGTGCAAATCTACAGCCTCTCCATTAATTTCTATGTCAACCTGGAAGAAAATAAATATATTCTTCTATGAAAAGAAAGTTATTTTAGGTACACAGTTCCTGTTCAGCTGTCCTGCTGCAGTCACTGGGCAAATGTTTCTCAGGGAAGTGTAGGAAACCTTATAATAAACATAAAATAGTGAACTTCTGTTTCTTTCCTTCTCCCTTCACAAGGTAATCAATTATAAAAATGTTTTTCTTACTCATTCAGCTCACTGCTGTCTTGCTCCTCTAGTCAGAAAGGTTTATAGCCATTATATAAAAGTTATGAATCTTTTAAAATATAATTCTGAATGCTTCACTTGCCACACAAATCTATTGGCTAATTTTGAAATGTGCAAGAAATACTTCCAAATGCAAATTCTTACTATGCTGTCTTTCAAATTAATTAAACAGACTTCTCTATGCTATGAGAAGCATAAAAAAGAAAAATAATTTCACATTCTTCATACAGTTTGTCTGTTTCTTCAACACATTTATCACATCACTGTACACCCATAACTAACGATCTCCATTTCTGCTCAGGAGGATCTCTTTTTGCCTATAATCATTCTAGCCACCAACTCCATTTTCACCGTAAATTTTTTTGAGACTTAGATAACTCTTACCCTTATATTTTATTTCAGGACACAGAATACCATGGGCATAGTAACATCTTCAACTTTTACCAATCCTAAATATAGGAATTTCTTTCTGATCTATGTAAGAACTGAACAACATCCATGCTGACTTTAGGATCTTTCTGCTGAACAATTATAGGTACAGTAAAACCTAGACTGTAGGTAGTTATAAATTATTTCCTAAAATTATCTGTCATGCATTACTCATTGGTAGCTTCACATCTAATACATCATATTACGGGGTCATTCGGCCTGGTTACGTTTATTTCAAGGTCCTCACTGCTTTTTCTAGCTTCAATTAACCTCAGTGTTCTATTATCTGAAAATATTACTTCATTAATACCTTCATTTTTGTAACTATCACTGAACATGTCAAAGAAAAGGGTTTTAATGCAGTCACTAATGAAATCTAGTGGGCTCAAATTAGCACATTCCAGATTTTGCTTCATTGAACACCGTATTGTTTTAGTTATTAGTCAGTATCTTACAAATTATGCTCTGAAATGCAACAATCAGTAACAACCATTTTAACTGAACCTTGCACTTTATATAGAGTTAACTCACAGACAGAATATATAAAAATTTTCAATTTTCTTACCACTTTCTCCCTAGAACGTAGAACTCCCATCTTCCCAAAGCGAACATGGAAAGGGGAACACTGAAGATTTCCATCTGGTTGACGTACAACAATTATATCTATACATCCCGACAGGGTGGCTGGGTTCAGTCCCTTATAGAGCTCCTTCACAGTTACAAACACTTGTCCTGCTAACTGTCCAACGTAATTCATGGTTTGGACCTGAAATGCAAAAGAAAGAACTTCAATTTTGATCCCTGCTTTGCACTGTAGAGACATTTGAGAGACAGAAAATCCAGCAGTGGGGTATTCTCCTGTTACAAAAATTAACAATTTCACACAAAATCAGGATTTCCAACCTAGTTTATTTAGAGCTGACACGTTTGTAGACAGCTATTTAAAAACAAAAGCAGAAGAGACTTAGTAAGTCAAAGAATGGTAACAACTTTCAAAAGTTCATTAAAATCAGTTGCATTCAAAACCACTGTCAGACTTTTAGACTCTGAAGCTCATAAATGCCTTCAATTACCTCTGGAGAGAAAAGCATTACTTCCTCCTATTATTTATTCTGCCCTCAACACCAAATGTATTTTTCTCGTGTATGTCCACAGGCTTTTAAAGGCAGGGCAAGCGAATGGTTTTAAGCAGATCTTATTTTTTGCCGCACAGAAGTCAAAGACTATTCTCCCACTTTGCAGGGATTTCTCCCATTGAAAGATTATTGCAATGCATAAAGACAGCATTAAGGTTTGACAAGCAACCTTCAATCCAGAGTGCTTCCTAATGCAACTTTATCATTCTTCTTTCAAACAGCTTTTTAGTATCAGTAGTTTTATTAAAAATTATACACATGTTGATGGTTGAAGTGATTTGCTTTATTGCCTCTGCTCCTGGATTATTTAGTTTGCTGCTTCTACTCTGTTAATGTTTGAAACATTTAGCTCCCCAGACAGGTCAGCATATGTATTTAGACATATTTCAAGGATAAAAAGTCTTTTAAGGGTTCTCAAAATATGAGTGAATTCAAGCAGATGCCTTCCTAAACAGTACTTATTTTGAGTACTTCCAGTGTTTCTTGTTTTCATTATTTTCCCAACACTTCTTACAGATTCCAAGACACTGACTTCTGCGAAGTCCTTATACACTCATATAGAGCATGATACACATACAAGTTCTTTGCTAGGCTGTACTACATCACCTGGACATCAATAAAAGAGACACTCACAGGGTAGACAATATTAAAACTCCCATTGATGGCGATGAGAACAGAACTGAGCTCAGACTCTGAGAGACAGTCACTGCACAGCAGCAGCATCTGCTACAACAGAGACTCTTTCAGCTGTATTCTTTCATAAACAACAAAAGGATGTATGAGATGGTGTAAAAATGGCTCCAAATTTTAACTGTGACTTCCAGTTATGAACAAAAATATTTAGAGAATATAGTGAAAGCATTACAGTAAAACAATCTGAAAGTCAGGAAATGCTATAATTAAGGCAGGTCTCTTCATGCATTACTGTTCTAATTAATTAATGTTCATCTGTGGTTTTTTACCAAAAGTCCCACCACACAGGAAGGACTGAAGCACCACATAGTCATGCGTTCACAACCAGCTCCTCACCCCAAGCAGAGAATCCAAAAAGTAAAAGTGATAAAATTCATGAGCTGAAATACAGTTTAATGGTACACAAAAGGGAGAAAATAATTCTAATAATAAATAATGATAATACAGAGTAGAATAAAAATTTCAATATACAAAACAAGTGATGCACAATTGCTCACCACCTGTCAACCAATCCCTGCCAGTTCACGAGCAGCAGTCCACAGCCAGTTTTCCACCCAGTTTATATTCTGGGCATGACACTCTATGGAATGGAACATCCCTTTGATCATCTGCAATCAGCTGTCCTGGCTGTGTCTCCTCACAACTTCTCTTCACAGCCTTCTCACTGGCAGGGTATGAGACACTGAAAAGTCCTTGACTTAGGGTAAGCACTGCTCAACAACTCCTGAACCATCAGCGTGTTATCAATATTATTCACATCCTAAATCCAAAAACACAGCACTCTATGCATTACTAGGTAGAAAATTAACTCTAACCCAGCCAAAAGCAGGACAGATGTTAACTACTGGAAGAATAATTCCTAAATACTGTTTGGAGAAGCATTTCTGACCAGTCCTAAATTCAGGCATCAGGAAACTGCCACCTACTGAAAAGTCAACACACAAAAACTTCATGGCAGAAAGAGCAATTATATTTCAGTTCTTGAGCACTGAACTGGTATTAGCATTTCTGGGGTCCTATTATACATTAGAAACATGACTTCCTGAATGCAAATGTGGTGGTAAGCTGTTGGTGGTAAGCACTTGAAACTCATGCCACACCCCATGCTGCATCACAGAATAACAGACTGGAATAGACCTCTATCCTCACAACTTCACAGCCTTCTCACTGGCAGGGTATGAGACACTGAAAAGTCCTTGACTTAGGGTAAGCACTGCTCAACAACTCCTGAACCATCAGCGTGTTATCAATATTATTCACATCCTAAATCCAAAAACACAGCACTCTATGCATTACTAGGTAGAAAATTAACTCTAACCCAGCCAAAAGCAGGACAGATGTTAACTACTGGCTTCACAGCCTTCTCACTGGCAGGGTATGAGACACTGAAAAGTCCTTGACTTAGGGTAAGCACTGCTCAACAACTCCTGAACCATCAGCGTGTTATCAATATTATTCACATCCTAAATCCAAAAACACAGCACTCTATGCATTACTAGGTAGAAAATTAACTCTAACCCAGCCAAAAGCAGGACAGATGTTAACTACTGGAAGAATAATTCCTAAATACTGTTTGGAGAAGCATTTCTGACCAGTCCTAAATTCAGGCATCAGGAAACTGCCACCTACTGAAAAGTCAACACACAAAAACTTCATGGCAGAAAGAGCAATTATATTTCAGTTCTTGAGCACTGAACTGGTATTAGCATTTCTGGGGTCCTATTATACATTAGAAACATGACTTCCTGAATGCAAATGTGGTGGTAAGCTGTTGGTGGTAAGCACTTGAAACTCATGCCACACCCCATGCTGCATCACAGAATAACAGACTGGAATAGACCTCTAAAGGTAACCTGTTCCAAAGGTTTGCCTACAGGAGAGACAACTTGGACCAGGCTGTCCAGAACCCTGGTCCTGCCGAGTTCTCAGTGTCTTTAAGGATGGAGATTTCTCAGCCTTCCAGCACTCCTGTTCCTATGTTTGGCTGTCCTCACAGAGAAACTTTCCTTCCCAATATATAGTCTGAATTTCCCTTGTTGCAATTTGTGCCCGTTGTCTCTGGTCCTACCACTGTGCACCTCTAACACCCCAGCTGTTTCCTCTACAACCCCCAACAAGTAACTGAATACTCTGAAGACTAAACAAAACCAGCTTTCCCAGCCTCTTCTTTTAAGTCATAAACTCTTAGGGCCCTAATTATCTTGGTGGCCGACATCTAAACACTTAAAAAAGCTGGCACCACACAGGCACAGACCTCAGTTCAGAAATGAGCCTCCAGGGTGACAGATGTAAGCAAACGTTTAAAATTACTCTTTGCTGTGGAAAAATACATAGTTTCTAACACAGATTTTTCCAATCTAAAGTACAATAAGAAACATATTTCTTACTGAGCTAAGATTAAGCTCAAAATTACATGGTGCAGTTCACCCTAGTTAATCCTTGTTCTGCTGAAATAACAAAATTTCTAGGTGCAAAACAGCCACAACTTCCTTGGTGGGGAAGGAGCTGCTGGGACAGTATATACACTCCATTGTTTGGGAGACTATGGGCAGACAATCCAAATATGAGGACTCACACATCCTCTTAACAAGTTATGCCAGCAGGGCTCCTAAAATCCTAAACAGAAAATTTTGCAACTATTCTTGTTGACAGCAAATCTTAGCTGCACTTCCTGCCCTGTCTTTGGATACAAAGATTATTTTTATACTCACAAATAGAAAAAACTAGACACAATCCTCAAGCTCTGAGGCCAAATGGCACAGCACAGCTTGCTTCCATACAGTGGAAATCTCTTATCCCTTAAAAAATAAGAAAGAGCAACATTCAAACTGTCAGCTGGTGAAGAACAATGGGCTGAACCTGGCAGGTGCAACAAAATCACTGTAGAATTAAAAGACAGACCGGGAGACTAATCACATAAGCCTCACTCCCCCAAGAAACAGACAAAAAAGAGTTTACATTTCAAATGAAGGAAACAAAAGATGCTTTAGTTAGAACAGGGGAAGAGTTCAGAAATTAGATTCTGACAGATGTAGGCCCTCTATCCTAACTTTTATACATGGCAACCAAAGTTGAGATTGTTTGGAGTCTGAGGTTTGTAAGTTTATGCTCTGAACCTAAAGTCAGTCCATACTTACTCAGCACTCCAGGAAACTGACATTCCTCAAACCCCAGAGAGACTGCCTGTGGTTTTGGAGCAACACTTCAATCTGGCCACTCCAAGAAGTCTTTCACTTACTGACCGGGCAGCAGCAACTTCAGCAATAAACAGGAGTTTATGTCATGGGTGAAACTCCCAGTGCCTGCCTGTTAATTATACTCAATTTAGTAAAACTCTTGTTCTCAGACCATGCTAGTGGACATAGCATATTATATTTTTAGGTGCTGGGAAAATTCAGAATCCTTTTGATCTAAGCGTGCAGCAAGCGAGAACAGTCTGTACTGCTTCTGTCAAGATTTTCAAATGGCTTGAGTTTTGTTCTCTGCCAGAAGACATTTTGCAGCTCTACATTATGCATCTATTATGAAATTAGAAGTATTTTCTGGTACTATTTTTAATGTAAATTTAACTACCATCACCTGACAGAAGGCTTAGAAAATTTCCAACCCTTTTGATTGTTAAAGACAGCAGTCATTTTTCACAATTTATCATCATGTGGAAAAATAACAGAATAACTAGGTAGGTGATCTCCCTTATTACTTAACTGATTCATTCACTTAGCAAAGATTGACCTAACAAAGTTAATTCTCTAAAGTCCTACTCTACTGGATGCTACGGTAATGTCAAATGCACTGCCATCTAGGCAATCCACTTCTCTCATACAGGTACACCAGACTATGTTCTAATTTCACTGGAAAAGTCAGTAATGGCACCTTTGTGGCCTGATTTTGGTTGTTTGGGTTTGGTTTTTTTACAGGTCAGCTCTTCCCC